TCAGGCTCCGGCCCCGCCGCCCCGCACCGAGCGTGGCGCCGAGGCGGCGACAGCCGCGGGTCGGCGGCGGAGGGACGCCCGGCCCAGCGAGCGGCGCCGGCTTCTCGGCGTCCGCGCCGGAGCCGCTGCTTCGCGGCCAGTCGGCGCGGGCGGAGGGGCACGGGCACCAGCCCCTCTGCGCCGGGGAGACGGAAGCGCGGCGACGGGAGCCACACACCTGAGCCTGTGTGGTTCGGCAGCCTCGCTGCGCTCCTTCACAGCGACGCATGGCATGCAGCAATGGCATGAGCTCTGACTCAGCCGTAATCGTTGGGTAACGTCATACGGCTGTGGCAAAGGTAATCTCCCGAGAGCTGAGTAGCGAGTTTATTGTGTACACTGTCCTGATCCGTTCGGTTTGACGTTTTTGTGGATGCTGGGTTGAACATAATCGGGGGACGCGACCCACTTCGCCACAGACGGTCCCGCGCCTCGCCGCTATGACGGGCACACGCCCCGCACCGTCCGCTGTGTGCCCGTCTTTGTCCGGAGTGAAAAGTCCAACGCGCTCGTCGGTGACGGCGTCCTCCAACCTGCGCCGCGCTCGGCGAACCTCGACAGCGCTTTCGGTGGCATGCAGCTCTTTGCGACAGAAGCCTGGAGAGCAGCTCCTCTGCTGCTCACACGCTCTGCACAGTTGGCACAGCCTACTGTGCGGCTGCCACAGCTGTCACAGCGATGGGCTCGCCCTCACTGGCCCTCAGTCACTTGTGCTGCGGCTTGTGTGAGCGACACTGCTCGGCGACTGCCGGCACACTGTGAGACCATGGGTGTGAGGTTAAACCACGCTACCAGCGCTTGGTCACATCGGCCCCGAGGTCAGATCCTTCTACTCTGTTGATGACAAGACTTGTCTACTGGCTAAAGCCGAGCAGGAGGGCCCAGCGCACAACCCCTGGTCAACTCAGGGTCCACACCCCGTAGTGTGAAAGTGCTACAGCCTACACAGTCAAACTCAGATCCTGTGGCTGTGCAGTGCCCTTCTCTTGGTGTGTGAGCTGTGACTCTGACTGTGTGAGGGAGTGCCACTGACAGAGCCCCTTGGGAGCGTGAGTGGTGAAGGGAGAAAGGCTTCCGCTTCGTACTAGCCCTCCGGAGCGAGTCCGCCGGGTCCTCGTTCTACGTTCACGGGTCAGACCTGGAGGGCTGGAGCGAAACGAAAAGGCAAGCGTCAAGCGAGTTGAGCCAGACGAAGAGATTAGGAGCAGCAGGGACCCGAGGGACCACGTGGATGACGCGGCTAGCTGCTAGTCCCCATCGGGAGGACGACCCCGGCTGGTAGGAGTAGTCGCCGACCACACCGCTCCTCAAAGACCCCTGCACAAAGATCGCACGCGGCACGGGGCGGGGACCTTGTTAAAATCTCTCTCTCTCTCTTTATAGCCCCCCGCTACCCAGTCGCAGTCGTGCGACGTAGCGGGGGGCCACGACTACGTTTACGAAAACATAAGTAGTCCCGCGAGGTGTGAATTGGCCGCCCCAGTAGCCCCCTTTCCAGCGAGTTGGTTTTTCGGCGCGTCCCCAGAGCGTCCAAACTTGTTTGGGCGCGAACCGTATCTCGCAACGAATCTCGCCGCGCCTCACCGGCTTTCGTCGCCCATGCTCGGTCTCGACTTGAGTGCCGCTCGACTGGCCGATGAAGAGCGACCCGTACGACGCGCACTTGTCGCCCTCCCTCCTCGCCACATGACGGCCGCCCACCGACACCGACAGTCGCGCTCCGCACGCCTTCGAGGTCAGCTGCGGCCGAGCGACGACCGGCTCGTCTTCTCCGATCGCTGGGCGCGGTCACTCTCCGGCCCATCACCCGCCTGCCGATCACCTGTCCGCCTCGCCGCGCGCGGGCCGCTCGCCTGCTCGCCACCGCCGCCGCGTTTCCCCGCGCCGCCACGCTTCCCTGTGCACCTGACCGCGCTCGAGCCGCCGCGTTTCCCCGCGCCGCCACGCTTCCCTGTGCACCTGACCGCGCTCGAGCTGCGCACAGACGGCGCGCTCTGGCAGACAGAGCAGCGGCCGCCTAGGTGGTCGCTGCTCCGCCCCGTCCGAATCCGTCCGCCCGCGCGTGCCGCTGCCGCCGCCGCCGCCACCACCGCGCCGCGCTTCCCCGCGCCGCCACGCTTCGCTGCACCTGACCGCGCTCGAGCTGCGCAGGCAGACGGCGCGCTCTGGCAGACAGAGCAGCGGCCGCCTGGGCGGCTGCTGCTCCGCCCCGTCCGAATCCGTCCGCCCGCGCGTGCTGCTGCCGCCGCCGCCGCCGCTCCACCCGGTTGCCGTGTGTCGTGAGAGTTTGCTTTGTGCATGTGTATGTCGTAATGTGTGTGGACTTATGTCACACTTGAGCCTCTATGTATGATTAGTAGACCGGTACTCGGGTTTGGATGGTAGCGGGGGGCCCCGCCGGAGGCTGGTTACTGATTTATGCATTTGAGTGCCAGAGAGATTCACCTCACAGAGCGGATCCGTTTGTGTCTGAGAGAGAATTTTATGTGTTTTGTTGTGTCTGCGGCGGAAGTGGAATTCCTACTTCTTACACAGGGGTGTCAGAGGAGGAGCCGAGTGGAGCCGAGCGGAGCCGAGTGGAGCCGAGTGGGGCTGAGTGAGTTGATGGAGCTGCCACACCGCACCATCTCGCTAGGGGCTTAAGACTTTAGAAAACGGCGGTGATTGTCTCCGGCGTGAGCTGTTGAGATGTATTCTCGCGGACGGAAGAAAAGAGGAAAATGGTGAGTAGTAATCTGCAAGGCAATTGAGACCCGCGGGGGCAATCTCGAGTTAGGTTAGGTAGAAAGGTGAAGAACAGTCAGGCTCGGACTGGACACCAGCGCGGTATGGGTGGACGCGGGACAGATGATGACGACACGCACAAGCAACACACAGACACAAACAAGCTTAGAAGACACACAGCCATCGTGGCTGCCACACACCCTGAGTTGGCGTACACATAACTCAGGGCCATATTCTTCCTGTCCAAGGTGCAAAGGAAGCTCGATGAAAATAAAAAACGATCGACGGCGGCTGCCAAGATCTCTTGGACCTAGAGGCTACAGCTTCGCAAAAAAGACCCGATGCGCGCCGGGCGGCTGCCAAGATGTATTGGACCTACAAAAAAAAGCGGGCCGCGGCTGTCGTGCGAGCGTTCCCATGGAGGAGAGATGCCCGCGACCGGCCGCTCGGATGGGGAGCGTTGTCACTCTCGTGCGCGCTCGTCCCGCCCTTTTTTTGGCCCCTTCCTCCGCGAGCCACCCTCCTCTCCCACACCATGCAGGAGGCGCTCGCTGAGTCGGCGCGCGAGACGGAGCACGAGGACGGAAGCGACTCGGACGACGACCCCCTCCCCGCTTCTCGCGGCCACAGCCCCTTCTCGTCACGACTCGCGCCGCGCCGGCTGGTGGGCGAGGCGTCCGCCTCTGGCGCGGGCGCAAGTTTCCCGATGTACGTTATTCGAGTATCGGACTTTCTCCGCCTCGAGCGGCTCACCACGCACAACGAGCTGCTCCGCCGCGGCCTCCTCCGCCGGCTGGACGATCACGATCTCGAGGCGCACGTCCACTTTGTCTCCCACCAGGCACGCGCAACCGCCGTGCTCCGCGTCGCCCCCCACCCCCGCCGCCGACACAACACCGACACAATCCGGCGAGGCACCCTCACACGGGGTCTCTCCCCCCGCCGCCACGCCGCACCATCACACCCGTCTCCTCCGCCGCCGCGCCGCAGTGGTGCGGCCGATCGGAGGCCGACCCGAACGGGGACCACCTGCGCACGATGCAGGGCGCCTTTCGCATGGCGCGCGACAGCCAGCACGACGAGCTCTTCCGCTCCACCTCGGCAGCTCCGCCCTGCATCTCCGCCCTCGAGAGGATCCTCTGGCGCCTTCCTTCAGCCTGCTCGGACCCGCACGCATAGGACAAGCTCGCCTTCTTCAAGGGCTACTCGAAGAACAACGCGCGCTTCCTGCGCGACCTCTCAAGCAGCCGCTCCTCCCGGCGGAGCACGCCTCGGAGCACACCCTGCTCCACGCCGAGCGCCACGCCGGACCTGCGCCGCCGGCCGGTCGGGCCGAGGGAGGGCGTGCCCCTCCTCGCGGCGGCGGCAGCTAAGGCGGCGAGCGGCCGGTGCGGCCTCGGCGAGCGCTTCTCCTCGGTGCGCGCTTCTGTTCCGGACGACCCTCTCCCCGGACCCGTCTCGGAGCCTCTCTTAGGCGAGCACTCCTCGGCGGACGTGGCGGACCGCTCCTCGTCCTCCCGCGGGGGCGGGGCGGTGGGCGGGGCGAGGACGTCCCTCTCCTCGCTCAAGTCCATCGAATCTGGCGGCGAGGAGGCCTCCCAGCCTCCCTCCCCTTCCGGCCTCGCCTCTGTCACACCAGAGCCTCAGGGCCCCGCGCCGCCGAGCCACTCCGGCCTAGACTCCGGTCCTAGCTCCGGCCCCTCCGGCGGGGTGCGGAGCGGGAGGCGGAGCCTTCCCAGATCGACACTGAAGTCGACTCCGCGCTGCGACTCGCCCGCCATCTCGCCCGCCGACCGGAGGCCCGACGCGCTCGAGCTGGCGGCCGTCTTCTCTCAGTCTGTCGGCAGCGGGTGTGGGGCGTGATGGCCGGACGCCGCTAGCCCGCCGCACGGCACCGAGCCGCTGAGGGGCTCGGGCCCTGCTCCCGCAGGTGGGTGTGGATGGACTATGTCTCGATCCCGCAGACGCGGGGCTGCCTCAACGAGAAGGAGCTGCGCGAGACGGCCGCCGCGCAGCGCCTCGCCATCAACAGCATCCCGGCGTACGTGGCGCGCGCAAACAACTTTTGGGTGTGCGCGCCGTCGGGCGTGCGGCACGAGGACGGCGAGCGGTGCGACTACGCGACGTGGTCGTCCCGCGGCTGGTGCCGGATGGAGGAGTGCTGCCTCGCCCTCAACAACTGCGGCGACGGCCGCCCAAAGCCACGCGCAGCCGGTCGGTATCTCCCTCTATCTCCCTCTATCTCTTTCTCTCTCCTTCTAGGCCGGCCCCTCCTCGTCACGCAGCCGATCGGACAGCGGCCGAGGGTGCAGGTGCTCGACTCGTTGGACCGGCTGACGGTCCACACGCAGCGCCGCACCGCCGTCCTCACCGGCCGCTTCACCTGCTGCGAGACGGGGCACCGCCGCAAGACGGCCGACGGGAGGGAGGAGTGCCTCCCGTGCGACAAGGTTGCGCTGCGGCCGGTGCTGAGCGCGCTGTACGAGACACAGCTGGCGACCCTCCGCTCCAAGTTCGAGGCGCAGCCCGGCCACGCAGGGCCGTTCTGGGACGTGCTCGACGCCTCGATGCGCGGAGACGGCACTTTCTTCAAGCACATGCTGCTGCGCATGCACCGGCAGTGCTTGCTTGCCGAGTCGCTGCAGGAGCCCGCCGAGGGCGAGGCGCCGCCAGGCGCGAGCGGGATGCCGATCGGCTGGTCCAAGCGCTTCGAGGAGCTCGAGCTCCGCGACCTCGAGGAGTACGTGCGCACGTGGGGCGTCGACGGGCTCGAGGAGCAGCGGGAGGAGCTCGCCACCCTAGCGGCGCGAGAGGGGCACCTCCCAATCCTGCGCTACATCGTCGAGCGGTACGGCGCGCCGCTGCGAGTCGAGCCGAACCCGGCCGGCCTCACGCCGCTGCAGGAGGCGGCGCGGCTCGGCTGCCTGCAGGTCGTGCGCTACGTGCTTCAGGCGCAGGGCGTCGACCGCGCGGCGATCAACCACCGCTCGCCGTCCACGGGCTGCTCCGCCCTGAGCGACGCGGCGATGCGGGGCCACGCGGGCGTCGTCTCGCTGCTGCTCGCCGCTGGCGCGCAGGTCGACGCGCCGCGCAAGGACGGCAAGACGGCGCTGCACTGCGCCGCCGAACAGGGCCACGCCGCGGTGGTGCGACAGCTGTTGCGCGCGGGCGCCGACCCGCTCGCCAGGGAGGAGGAGGGGCGCACGCCCGCCGAGCTCGCGGAGGTGTGGCACGAGGACGCGCGCGCTCTCCTGCTCGCCGCCGAGGCCGGCCCGTGGTGGCGCCGGTGGGGGAGGCTCGGCGCACAGGGCGCAGCTTCCTCCTCCCCCGCACAGCGCAGCACCCCGCAGGCCGAGGCCGAGGGCGCCACTGACGCTGCTGACACCGCCGTCGCCGCCGTTGCCCTCGTCACTGCCCTCACGGCCAGCGCCGTGTGCGTCAAGCTGCTGGCAGTCGGGGTGCGTTGGGCTCGGCGCGCGCTCGAGACGGGAAGGTGGGGGTGAGAGTGCGGACGTGCGCGCGGGATGGACGGGGCGGGTGAGCACAGCGGCGCGGGGAGGGCGGGGGCACACTCAGGGCTACCTGTGGCGGGCTGGCGGGCGGGCGGGCGCGGCGCGGCACAGTCCGCTGACCGCTCGCGCTCCCCTTCTTCAATCTGCGAAGAAGCAAGATCGGCGCGCCCGGGGCATTTTTGAAAACCAACTCGCTGGTCTCTCCGCAAGGCCTCCCGACCGCGTCGAATTCATCGACGCGGGCTCTCTCGGCTACACGCGCTACACGTACGCTCTCTACTGTACGGGGGGCGGTGTGGACCCCGTGAGTTGACCAGGGGTTGTGCGCCGGCCCCTCCTGCTCGGCTCCAGCGAGTAGACAAGTCTTACCATCAACAGAGGAGACGGATCTGACCTCGGGGCCGATGTGACCAAGCGCTGGTAGCGTGGTTTTACCTCACACCCATGGTCTGACTCACAGTGTGCCGGCAGTCGCCGAGTAGTGTCGCTCACACAAGCCCTGACCCCTAGCTAGGGGGGGGGGTGCGCGTTCGCAGGGCCATAACACGCGTCTCGTTTGGCACTTGGAGCACTTGGAGTGCGGTCATCAACCTCACGCCCAGGACCGGGGAGCTAAGAAGCGCACCCAGCGGGCCGGATGATCGGGATCGGGTTACGGGCTAGAGAGCCCTAGCCCCGGGGGTGCGCGGTCGCAGGGCCATAACACGTCTCCGAGGGATGGTTCCGTGTACCGGGTTACCCCTTAACTGCAGAACGCACCCTCTTCCTCGACCGTGGGGGGGTGCGCGTTCGCAGGGCCATAACACAGGTAGTCTCCGAGGGTTAGTTCTGCGCTCCGGGTTTCCCCCAGCGGGCAGCGGCGGAATTTTTCCCTCGCGCTGTGGGTCCCCCTAGCTGCGGAACGCCCCCTCTACTCGGAGCTAAAGAATACTCTCCGAGGGTACCCGTACCAGGTTTCCCCCTGTCACACGATCGTGTTGAGTGCATGTCTGCTCCTCTCGTGTCTATCATCCTCCCGATCCACAACGGCGACATGTGGATCGACGAATGCCTCGAGGCTCTCTTGTGCCAGACGGTTCTGCACGCAGAGGCATCGAGCGCTGATCCAGCGCCGCCAGCCTGCCGGCTCGAGCTGTCAGCCTATGACGACGGCCTTCGCTACGACGCACGAGGCTCCGTTCGTGCGATAGGTTCCGACTCGGGTCTCGTTGCGAGTAGGCTCATCGGACGGCTCGTGGGACTCACTTCAGCGCTGGAAGCCGCGCCTCGAGGCTGCTGGCGTGGCAGTGGTGATCGGCCGTTCTGGCGGCTCGCAGGGCGGCGGCTGCGGGTTCGCCAAGAACCGGGCCGTCGCGCAGAGCAGCGGCACGTGGCTCTGCTTCCAGGCGGTCTCCCACTTGCACTCCCAACAGCTCGCAGTGCCCGCGGCGTGAGCCGAAGCCTGGTCGAGTAGGACGTGGACGACCTCTCGCGGCCGAAGCGAATCGAAGCGCAGCTGCTGGCGGCGGCCGCTCGGCCGGGCGCGCTGGTGGGCGCACGCGTGAGCCGCGAGCCCGAGGGCTCGACTGCGCGCTACGTCGCGTGGGCCAACGAGATGAGCGAGGAGGAGCTACTGTTGCACCGCTTCCGCGAGTGCACGCTGCTGATGCCGACGTGGTTCATGGCGCGCGGCACGTTTGTGCGCGGCGGCGGCTTCCGCGAGGAGAAGTGCGAGGACCTCCTCTTCCTGCACGCGCACGTCGCGCGCGGCGGCAGCTTGCACCGCGTCGGCGGGTGGGCGCGGGGAGCGGGAGGGCAGGGTTGGCAGGGAGGGGCAGGAGCCGGGAGGGGGGTCACACGCCCCGTCTCACACGCCCCGCCTCCGCCGCTCAGGTCGCCGCTGGTGGTGTACCGCTACCACGCCGCCGCAGTCACGCACGCGACGCCCCGCGCGCTCCTTCTCCGCCACCGCACCGCCGCGCTCGAGGCGGCCGTGCTCTCTGCCCACCCGAGCTGGGCGCGCTTCACCATCTGGGGGGCGGGCCGCGACGGGCCCTCGCGACGGCGAGGCGGCGGGGAGGGCGGCAGCGTCGTCACCTTTGGGCGCCTGGCAGTAGGCGCGATTTTTTCAAGGCGATGAGCGAGGATGGGAAGCGGCGTGTCGCGGCGTTTTGCGACGTCGACCCAAAGAAGATCGGGTCGAAGTACATCTACGAGGCGCACCGCGTGCCCATCGTCCACTTTCGAGAGGCGCAACCGCCCTTTGTTTTGTGCGTCGCGCTCGGTCGGACGGGTGGCGCCTTTGAGGCCAACGTCACTTCACTCGGGCTGAGGGAGGGGTTGGACTATTACCACTTCTGTTGAGAGACGCGCGCGGCCGAGGCGCAACGTAAGCCGCAGCGCCGTGTCTCTGTCTCGTCTTTGTCTAGCTGCCGCAGAGCCTCAGCAGCCAGCAGGTCAACCTGCCGCTCAAGGAGGGCCGCCGCTGCGAGGAGGGCGCCTGCTGCGAGGCTTGCTCGCGCGTCACCTTCCCCGCCTTCGCCACCGCCGCAGAGACGGACCTCCAGGTCTTCCCAGACCTCGAGGGCTTCAACTTCAACGGCTGCGGCAAGTGCTCGACCGCGACGATCCTCAACTTCGTCCGGCTCGTCGAGCGGATTCGGCGCTCCATCTCGCACGAGTACGGCCTCCCCCTCTCGCGCGTGCTGCCCGTGCAGGCGCGCCGCGCGCGCGCACCGAGCGGGCCCGCGCCGGCCTGGACCCTTTCCCTGGCCCTTGCTGCAGGCGTACGCGCGAAAGTACGAGGCGGGCCTCAAGCAGACGGGAGGGGGAGGCTCGGCGGGCGACTCTGTGACATTTGCTCACGGACGAGGCGAGATGGTGCGACATGCGCTGTAGCGTGCAACGCGATGTGGACAGGTGATCCTGCACACGGACGAGGCGACGCACGCCGTCTACCACTACTCGTGCGTCCTCTACCTCTCCACCCAGGGGCACGACTTCACCGGAGGAGCGGGGCCGGCCGGGCGGGACGCCCCTCCGGCAGCCTCTCACACTTCCCGCCTCCGGCCCCAGGCTCGTTCGTTCATTCAGGTCCAACCAGGCGCATGTTGCACGCCCAGGCTATCACATGGATGGACCCATCAATAGGTAGGCAGGCGCCTGGCGCCGTTGGTTGTTCACGAACGAGCTGCGAACCACAGACCTTGTTACAGTTGGAGGCCATGATTCACAGAATCTAGATGTTTCTTGGTTGATACGAATTTTGACCGCGCAAGATATAAAGGGTGGCTAAGGGCTCTGGGCCCGCAAGGCGCCCGCGTCGCAGACGCGGTACCATTGACAAATCTGCAATATACCCACACACGAACAAATAGCAAAATCCGAATACCGTGCAGAGAAACCATCCGTGACGACTGACGTCCGCCGTGGACGGACGCAAGCCTTCAGCCTGCTGCCTGGTGCCAGACATTCGATCGTGTTGACAAGATTCGTAAAATTGAAGCCAAGAACGTCCGCCAAATCCGTGCTTTCGGAGCAACTGAGGGGAAAAGCCGCTGATCGAGCCCAGCGTGCCCGCGGCCGCCTCCCGCGCAGCACCGCCGCTGGGGACGACACGCTGCGGAATCGGATCGAGGATGCACCGGGCAAAGAAGGAAAAAAGGTGGGAGAGGCAGCCGGCGTCTGCCGTCACAACGAGTCCCCGGCCCTACCCGGTAAGGTGATAAGAATTCTATAAGGTGTGTGGTCCGCTCCCAGTCTGGTCGAGACCGAGGTGCTGAACTGAGAGCCACTCCTGGAGGCTGCCTCCGGCCACCGCTCGACTACCCACGCACATGGCCGGTCCTGTGGCTTACCTGGGCTTGCTCAGAAGCCTCAATTCGCGCACACCTTTGCTCTCTGGCTCCCGCGAGTGCGTTTAGGCCACTCAAAGCAGGCGACGCCGAGCACCCGCAACGCATCTCGCTGGGGCGCCACCTATCGACCCGACTGATTGGCAGCATCAAAGCCGACCCCATGACGGTCCTTCAGCCCCATGAGACAGGCAGTTGCGCCCTGATCTCGGTCCAAGACGGCCAACGCCATGTCCGGCACCTGCTGGCTGCTTCACGGGGATGCCCCCCCCGGACACATGCTGCAGCCCCGAGTGGATGTATTGGTCGTTTGTGGGTCCCACAAGACTACTCTAGTAGGGGCCGGGCGCTGGAGCGTCGGCGGTACACCTGTGCAGATGTTGCACGGGTGAAATGGCTCCTCGTACAGGGTAGGAGGCAGGTGGTGGGTTTGAGTGTTGTGAGTGCTTGCAGCTGCGAGTGCAGCACCGTTTGTGACTCCCATGGATACAGTTGGGTGGGCCACGGTGCTGGGGGGCGGTCCGGTGCGCCACAACAGCCTCCCCGGCTGACCCCCATCCAGTTCGGCACCTACCTCCATCCTGACCGTGGAACCCCAACCTCAACCGGTCATATCTCGGGCGGACTGGCACCTCAGGAGCTCATCCTGGGCGGTTTGGGGGAGTCTTGGGGGTGTACTTGAAGGTGGTAAACAGAGTTTTGCACCGCAGCTTAACCGAGGGGCGTGCTGAGCACCGTGAAAACAGCGGACCACAGCTATCGCCCACTGTACTTCGGGTCAGCGACCCGACCGTGGACATGCTGCCCTCGTACATGCTGCCCTCGCTGGCACGCGCACGCCCTTCGTGCAAACACTTATGCCGCGCGGCCGCGGCAAGTCGAGGGCTCAGCGACGCGTCTTCGATTCGAAATCCCAGCGATGCAGACGCATTGGTGAAGGCCCTGCCGGCCGCTTCGTTCAAGCTGCTGAGCGAGAGCATTGGCCGGCGTCTCGAGGCGGAGAGCCCCATCGACGCAAGGTCGCTCGCGATGGAGGCCGACTCGGACCGCGACGGCAGCATTGACGCGGAAGAGTTTGCCCTGTGGTGGCGCCGCCGCGGACCGACCCTCCTGACTCAGATGTCTGGCCACGGGAGCGGGCCGCCAAGCTGGGCACAGCTCGGCAAGCTCGGGCTGCTGTCCGCTCTGCCGTGCTTTGTGTTTGGGTTTTTGGACAACTCAATCATGCTCGTGGCGGGCGATGCGATCGAGTCGAGCCTCGGCGCGAAGCTCGGCCTCTCGGGCCTGGCGTGTGCCGCGCTCGGCAACGTTGTCGCCGACACCACAGGCAGCAGCGCGCCGCCTCCTGCTGCCCGCCTGCCTGCCTGCCTGCCTCCTACCTGCCTGTGTGCGTGCCCTCCGTCCCCACGAGTGGGTCAGCACCCCTGCGCGGCCGCGCTCCTCTATAGGCCAGCTGAGCGGCAGCACCGTGGACACCGTCCTCCGCCCCGTCCTGCCCAACCCACGCCTCAGTCCCGCGCAGCAGCAGATGCGAGCGGCCCGCCTCACCACCGCCAGCGCGGGCGCAGTCGGCATCATCATCGGCTGCCTCGTCGGCTGTTTCCCGCTGCTGTTCATCGAGGGGGACGGCGCAGAGGGCAAGCCCGAGGCGGCGTGACAACGGGCCGCCCCGGCGAGACCGCGATTGAGTGATAGGAAGGCGAAGAACAGTCAGGCTCGGGCGCACAAAGACACAGAAAGCAGAGCTCGAAATCCCTAAAGCTAAACATAGAACAGAACGGATCCGGCCCGCCCCCCGGCGCCCCGGGCGGCGGGGCGCGGGGGGGGTTACGGGGTTTAACCCTTTTACGTCCACATTTCGAGTGAGTGAAAACCAACTCCTGTTGATAGGTCCAGGTGACAGCCCTGGATGGGCAATGCATTCGCCTACCTGGGCCTCAGATCGCCCGACCGCGTCCCGGTGCTCTGCGTTCGGATTTGTGACGCCGCCGCACCGCGCCGCGGCCCGGCGGCCGGGGGCCCGCCGGAGGCCGAGGATGGCCGTGACGGACCGGGACGAGCTCTGGGAGGTTCAGTGTCAGTGAGTATATTGTAGAGACTGACCATGTGCACAATATATTGACTGAGAGCTAAGCCAGGGGAGGCGATGCCGGGGCCGTACAGCAGCTTTTGATGGTACTTCGCCGGCGTAGAAGCGGCCGCGGAGGGCTCCGGGTGCCTGAAAAAGACGGATTTACGTGGGCTGTGGGAGATTTACTGTCGACCCAAACGACACTGTGCCGTGATCCTCTCATACAGGGCTAAATTTTTACCGAGCCGTTTTAAAGTTCCACCGCTACGACTGGAGATATATCGAGATTTGGTCACCATGCGACCCTTATGGCGCGAAAGGGTTAAAGCGCCGACACAGACAGCCCTCTCCACCACCCTCGCCCCATGCCTCGCCCCCAGGGATCTACCTTCTTAAGGTCCAACCTGTGGGCACTGCCTGCGCTCGGCACCGGGCACCGCCTGCGGTATACAAAATTTGCCTGCGGGCCGACCCTCACACAGATCACAGATCACAAAAGACCCCCTTTAAAAGAGTCGGGCTGATTTCTTGTGTGTGAGCTTGTTTAAATTCTTGTGTGCCTGTGTTAGTGTCAGTGCGCGCCAGTCCCGTGCCTAGTATCGTGCGAGGGAGCTTTATTGTAAAATGCTTGTTGCCTTCTAAAAATCTCTCAGACACACATAACAGAGTCCTTATCAGTTTGATGATCGCCATGTGGGCCTCCGGGCCTGCTGCTGCGGCGGGCGGTTGCGGCGACGGTCGTTCAGTTGTTCAGCGCTCAGGCGTCTTGGGATTGGGCCTCTGGCCTCTGGTGTCTGTTGTCGCATTTCGCACACGCGCGCGCGCCGCGCGACCCGCGTCGCTCCGCGAAGGCATGAGCCTACCGCGATTTGGCCGCGGCCGACTCTGCCATCGCGGCTGCAGCTGTTGAGCTCTCCAGAAGACCGGTGCCTGATATGCTGCCTCCCTGCGGATGCTGCCGGCGAGCCTGGCGGTCCGCTGTACTACAAGGAAGTGTTGACTCGATGCCCCCCCGCAATCTTCTACCCCCACGACTCGGAACGCGAATGTGACAGGATCAGCGGTCCTTCAGCCACCAAAGCGAGATCACCCAAGAGCAGCTGAGTCTGCCTCTGGCCTCGCCTCCCTCTCCTCCAGGCATTCGTGGCATCCTATGGGGTCGTCCAGAGTATCGACCTCTGGCTTGTCAGCCGGTCACTTTGATGACACTTGAGCACTTGAGCACTGGATAGGGTCAGTTCCGCATGGTACGGGACCCCTCGATGACACCATGAAGTACAGCGATCGTCACCTCGCTGGTCTCTCCGCAAAGGCCTCCCGACCGCGTCGAACTCATCGACGCGGGCTCTCTCGGCTACCGGACCACCGGCCCCAGCTTCGGCTGAGGGCTGAACAAGCTGCCGAGCACAAATCTCACTGTGAGAGGCGTGATTTCTTGTTGGTTTTCAAAAATATCAACAAAACAACAACACACACAAAAAATCTCCCCTCAGAACAGTAGTGCTCGAGAAAGGGTCAAAATCCCTAAAAAACAGATTCTGGAGGTGCGCTGTTTTTCTCCTGCTGTGCCATTTGTGGTGCCAGTTCGCGCAAGAAAGAAAGAAAAAAGCAGGTGGGATTCTCTCGAAGTGTTGAAGATCTTCAAAAAGGAATTCTCCGCCGACCTTCCTGAGTCGCACGATCGTCGAGGCAGAGGAGAGCGACGCGACCGAGGATGAAGCGACAAGAGAGAGAACTACGAGAGTGGGAAGACCGCGAGGTGGCATGAAGGTTGCAGCGAGAATCGGCGAGGGAATGCGAAGAGATAGGAAGAGGCGGACGCCCAAGGGTGGGCGACGGCTAGCGCATCACACTGCTGCTGCTGCTGCTGCTGTTACGTCTTCGGTCCCCGCGGGAAGCCCCGCGCATAGGACAACAACGTCTGTCCCACACACACACAGACGCGCACATTCATACATCATGCTCGGGCACACCCCACAGTGTAGTGGTGTGAGTACACAAGTACTAGCAGAGTGCACACCTGCCTTGGCGGGTGAGGGTCGTAAGAATCAAAGCCTCTTGGTGCCAAACGTGCTCGAGCGCGCCGAAGAGAGACGATCTACGCTCGAGGGAGTTAGCGAAAGTCGCACGGGCAGAGGGGAGAGACCGAGGCCTCCGGCAGTCCGCACCGCCTCGCGAAAGGGAAGCAACGATCAACTCCAGATTGGACTTGGGTGCGCCGAGCGCCGGCGCGTAGTCACACTCCTCTCCTTAAAATCCCTGCCGTCCTCCCATCCCTCCCTTGGGTTGTCTGTTTTCTTTCTTTTCTTTTCCGTACCTCCGTACCTGTGTTAGTGCCACAGTCTGAGGCACAGTGCGCGCCAGTCCCGTGCCCAGTGTCGTGCGAGGGAGGTTACAAAATTCTTTCTTTTTCGACTGCGAAAGAGAGATAGGAAGAGGCGGACGCCCAAGGGTGGCTGGGCGACGGCTAGCGCATCACACTCCTCTCCTTAAAATCCCTGTGTGGTGGCGGCGTGCCGTCCTCCCATCCCTCTCTTGGGTTGTCTGTTTCCTTTCTTTCTTTTCCGGTGGTGTGCCTGTGATAGTGCTAGCACGCGCCACCCAGTCCGCACCTGTGTCGAGCCTGTCTGCTGTGAGAGAGAGTTGTTTTGTTTAAATTCTTTTCCGTAACCTCCGTACCTGTGTTAGTGCCAGTGCGCGCCAGTCCCGTGCCCCCAAAAAAGAAAGAAAGCAAACACACAACCCAAGGGAGGGATGGGAGGCCGCCACCACACAGGGATTTTAAGGAGAGGAGTGCGGTGCTAGCCTTCGCCCACCCTCGGGCGTCTACCTCTTCCTATCTCTGTTCGCAGTTTCTCGCCAATTCTCGCAGCGACCTTCATGCCACCTCTCGTTCTTCTCACTCTCGTCCTCGTTCTCTCCCCTGCTGTTTCATCCTCTGACTCATCGCTCTCCTCGGCCTCGTTCTGAGACGGCAGACGCCGCTGCCGTCTGCCGATCCCTTCACCCTTGCTCTCGCTCGCTGCTTCTCTCGCCTCTCTGCGTAACTCCGCCCTCCTCTCGGCATATTTTGGAGACTCATGCCGCCGCCCCTGCCACCCCTGTGTCAGTGTGCCAGTGGTAGTGAGAGACTGCCGGTGAGAAGCCGGAGGAAGGTCGCTAGACTGAGATGAGACGACCGCCAGTGGAGTTGGGATTCCACCGTGCACCGCGCATCCGCGCTGCGAGCCTGTCGTGTACCAGGAAGGAGCAGGAGCAGGAGAGCCCCACCTGTGCCCCTGATCGTCCTTCCAAATTCCTGACCCTGTCCTCCTCCACTATCTTTCCCTCGTTTGGTTGTTCTGTTTTCTTTCTTTCTTTCTCGGCATGTTTTGGCCATCGAGCTCTCCTCGGTGAGAGAGGCTTCTGCCTGGCGAGGTACTCCCACGCCTCTCGGGGTTTTGTCTGGCAGAGTCTGCTGGGGCGAGCCTCGGCGAGACTGCGTCAGCTGTTCCCACAGCAGGCTGGAAGTACCTCGCCAGGCTTCTGCTCGAAGAATTCTTTTCGATGCGTTGCCCTCGTTCATACGCACGCGCATGATGAGCCTCGTCGATGCAGAATATGACAGCGAGGATGACAGCGAGAGCGTTGCTGAGAGTGAGGAAGGCAGCGCGGATAGCGGGGACAGCGAGGGTAGTGACGGGTTGGCAGAGTGCGGCGCAAGTGAGGCCGAGGCAATCCTGGACGCGGAAGCAGCACTGGCAGCCGGCGCAACGTTCGCGCTCGATGAGCTTCCGGCGCCAAGCAGCAGCTCTCTCGGCGCGGCTGAGGCCGCCCGGATGCCTGCGGCAGAGCTGGTGAGCAGCAGCGATGGGGAGAGCAGCGACAGCGAGGACGTGCTTGAGCCCGCCGCAAAGAGTGCTCGGGCGTGCCCCGCCGAGCCGGGTCAAGTGGACGCGATGCGCGATGACGAGGACGACGAGGAGGAGAGCGTGCGTGGCGGCGCCGCTCAGTCTGCGGAGGCCGGCGAGAAAACAAGGCATGAGCAGCCGGCACCGGAGGCGCCCGCCTCGCTGCCTGTGGGGGAGCAGCTCGAGCGGGCGGCGGCTGTGGTCTCCCTGCTCGATGACATGGCAGTGCTGAAGGCACTCCCCGGGCTGCCGCCGCTCGCCGAGGCGTCGCTGCTCTGCCTTCCTCCCTCCTCGGGCGCGGAGGCGGTCCAGGTGCTTGGGCGAGTGGCGGAGATCTTTGGACCCGTCTCGGCGCCCCTCTACTCGGTGCGTGTCGGAGACACCGACCGTCTCCGCCTCTCTGTTGGCGACGAGGTCTTTGTCGCACCGGCGCACTCGTCCTTCCTCGCCCCGTCCGCAATCAAGCAAGGCAAGGGGACCGACGCGAGCGGCGCGGATGACGACGAGTGCCAGCTCGACGAGCAGGACTTCTCGGACGACGAGGCGGAGGCGGAGTACAGGCGGAAGCGCAAGCTGGCGCAGGCGGCGGCAGCGGGGTCAGCCGCTGGCGCTAGCGCGCCGGGTGGGGGAAGGCCGTGGCGGTGGCAAGGGCCGAGCGGCCGGCGGCTAAGGGCCGGCGGCAAGGGGTGGGCCTTGATTGGCAAAGGCCGGCCTGCCAGGGGGGCCGTGCCTGTCTGCCCCCCCCAGTCCCGGGGGCCTTCCCCCGGTCCTGAACAAGCTCGGGCTGGTTCTCGCCCCTTCCGGGGGCTGTTCCCCGCCCACGTAGTGGTGGTTGGGTTCCCCCTACACCTCCCCCCTCCCTGGGGGGCC